TCAGTTTAAAAATATGTTCCATTTCTTGCTCTCTGTGTTTCAATAAGACTTGACAGTGTAAGTTAATTACAAAAGGAAGTGGAGCGGGGGGAACCTCTAATAATTTTGCCTCCGTATCTTCCCCTCAAAAATAAGGGAAGGTAAATTTAGGAGCCTCAGTCAAGATACAGCCTTAAGTGAAAGAAGACAAAACCAACAACTAGCTTGAGATGTGCCATAGATTAGAGCGCCCATGCCTTCAGTCCGCGTTTCAGAGCTGCTCGCGTATACCCTGTTATCTTACAATACACAGGCTGAGTAGGGACTTCACTTTTGGTGTCAAATTTTGTCATGCTTCGCTCTGGGACATAAGTCCACCAACCGCATTATATCTGCTTAATCACCCAGAGCCAGAGTCATCTCTCAGCTTTGCTTCAGCATGTTTTCTTGCATCCTTTTAACATATTTTTCTAAGAAAAGAGCAGCACACTTGTGACACTATCTTGCTGTCTAGTGAGCACGTGTCAGTCTGCATGTTGCAATACTCAGTTCACCAGACTGATGAAAGTAAATATAGCATAAACAAGATGAAAAAGAGTGGCTACTTTCAAAATGGATGCATTTTTTGATCATAAGCCAAAGCTTCAAATCAGTGTTAGTGAGTTTGACATGACAGACTGCTTAAAATCTTGTGAGGAAACTTGGCTTTAAGTGATTTTTTTTCCTGTGTGGCTTTTGTTATAGTTTTTATAAAGTTAGAATTCCTTTTGTAATGTTCTACTGGACATAAGTTAACTTTGGACATTTATATCAAATGCCTCTTTAGTGCAATTTTTAGCATGGAACCAAATTGAATTTGTTTTTTTTAAGTACAGTTTTCTTGTGACAGTTTGCTAGCTTATTTTATGTGGTTTTGTGCATAAATGTGAATTTATTTAAATAAAGAAGGTATTAATGGTCAGCTTTGTGTAAATGAAGTTATTGATATTCTTACTAAAAATAAATTTCTCTCTTACTCTTTTACACTTTGTGATGTTTTCTTTTTCATTCTGTATTTACCAGTATTGCTGTGCATCTCTAAGCCTTTCTGTGTCACTGCAGCGTATCAAGGTACGTTGCAAGAAGGTAACGTGCCGTTCCTACAGTTCCCTTCGGGACCTGAAATTGCCCATGGAAATCTGTGGCCCAAGTTTTGAAACTGTTGAGGTTCAAAGGAGAAAAAAGATTGAACCGAGATCAGTAAAAGTGAAATGTGTGGCAGAAAACATCTAGCTCTAACAATATTGACCTTCTTTGGAGCAGGGCCAGCAGCTATACTGAGGTTAAAACACAGAGTCCAAGCACTGTCATCTTCTAAAGGATGCTGATTAGACCTCATTTTATTCATATACATATATATATATATATGTATATACAGACAGAAAAATGCTTCAGGGAGATCTTATTGCAGCCTTCCAGTACCTAAAGGGGGCCTACAGGAGAGCTGGGGAAGGACTTTTTACTGGGGCATGTACTGATAGGACGAGGGGGAACGGCTTCAAACTGGAAGAGGGCAGGTTTAGATTAAACATTAGGAAGAAGTTTTTCACTTTGAGGGTGGTAAGGGACTGGTACAGGTTGCCCAGAGAGGTTGTGGAGGCCCCATCCCTGGAGGTGTTCAAGGCCAGGCTGGATGTGGCCTTGGGCAACCTGGTCTAGTGGGAGGTGTCCCTGTCTATGGCAGGGGGCTTGGAACTCGATGATCTTCAAGGTCCTTTCCAACCTAAACCATTCTATGATTCTGGGAAAGCATTAATTGTTTTTAACTAGATTCCTTAGGAGCATACTTTAAAGAGTAATGTCAGTATGACTGTTAGTGGAGGCAGGATGGCCAGACAAGCTTCTCTTCCATATAAACTCTGACATGTTATTGTCATTACAGCAGCTGCCATGATGTGTAGGCTCAGCTCTGATATGGTGATCAGGAGAAAGACAGGGGAGGAGGTGATTGCGTCTCACAGGTCGCGTGCCCAGGGCCTACGACACTTCTCTGACAAGTGAACAGTGCACTTTGGTACTGCATAAGGAAGCCTGAAGCCCCACAGGCTGTTTGCTGACCTTTCTATCAGCCTGTCATCACAGCTCCTGCTTTCCGATTGCACTTTCTCCTCCAGTCTCTTTCCAGCCAATTCCTATTCCTATTCCAATGCAGTGCCCCAAACTGACACACAAATGCACCTGCAGGGAGTAGAAGGGAATGTAATTTTACATAAAGTACCTGCTGCGTTTTTTTAAAGAAAAGCTCAAACCACGTTTCTGTTTCCCAGGATAACACTCACCTTGCACCATCGTGTGGCTGACTGGGCTTCTTGGTTCCCCTGGACCCCTGCAGAACCACGGCTCACCAGCCAGTAAAGCCTCCTGCTGCGCTGGAGGAACCGACTGTTCCTGCTGGGGTGGTGCTTGTGCCGTGTGTGTTTCTATCACACTTTTTTTTTTTTTTAAGGCCACTTCTCTCGTTTGTCAAGAATGTTCTCAGTTATGTCTTCCAATGTATCTGTAGAGCTCTCGTGCTTGGCATTCAGTACAAGCTAACGGAGACTATGGTGTGTATGCATCTCGGTGGAATAAAAATGCTGAGGAATGGTGGGGTGGGCCCACTCCATCACCCATCACTTGCGCTATCAGTCAGCCACCAATTAGCACTAGTTTTGTATTGCTCAGGAAAGTGCAGTTTATTCTTTCAGGGTCTCCATAGGGCACTGTGGTGGGCTGACCCTGGTTGAACACCAGGCGCCCACCAAAGCCGCTCTATCATTCCCCTCCTCAGCTGGACAGGGGAGAGAAAATACAACGAAAGTAAAGATAAGGACAGGGAGATCACACAGTAATTACTGTCACAGGTAAAGCAGACTTATCTTGGGGAAAATTCATTCAATTTATTACCAATCCAATCATAAGAATTAAATCTGAAAACACCACCTTCCCACTCCTCCCTTCTTCCTGGGCTCAACTTTGCTCCCAAATTCTCTACCTGCTCCCCCACAGCGGCTCAGGGAGATGGGAATGGGGGTTGTGGTCAGTTCATCACATGTTGTCTCTGCTGCTCTTTCCTCCTCAGGGGGAAGACTCCTCACACTCTTCCCCTGCTCCAGCGTGGGGTCCCTCCCACAGGAGACAGTCCTCCACGAACTTCTCTGACGAATCCTTCCCATGAGCTGCAGTTCTTCATGAACTGCTCCAGTGCGGGTCCCTTCCAGGGTCACAGGTCCTGCCAGGAGCCTGCTCCAGGGTGGGCCCTCCACTGGGTCACAGCTTCCTTTGGACACCCACCTGCTCCAGCATGAGATCCTCCACAGGTGTATATCTGCTCCACTGTAAACCTCCACAGCCTGCAGAGGGACAGCCTGCCTCACCATGGTCTTCCCCACAAGCTGCTGGGGAATCTCTGCTCCAGTGCCTGGAGCACCTCCTCCCTCTCCTTCACTGCCCTTGGTGGCTGCAGAGTGGTTGCTCTCACATATTCTCACTCTTTTATGACTGCTACATATTCTTCCTTCTTCAATGTTATCCCAGAGGCGCTACCACCATCATTGATAAGCTCGGCCTTGGCCAGTGACAGGTCTGTTTTGGAGCCGGCTGGCACTGACTCTGTCAGCCATAGGGGAAGTTCCTAGCAGCTTCTCACAGAAGCTGTAGCTACACCCCTCTAGCCCCCCAGCTACCAAAACCTTGCCCTGAAAACCCAATACAGGCACAACTGCTGCCCTGCATGGTTCCCTGAGCAGAGCAGGCATCCCACATCTCACCAGCACCAATATGCTCTGCAGACTTTGTGCACTGTGCAAGAGCTCCCCGCAGCTCTGCACAGCACCCTGTGCCTCCCCAAAAGGCACCGGCTGCAGAACACAGCATGAGCTTCAGTCAGGCCCTGAGGTTTGTGTAAAGAAGACATTTTCTGAGTCACAGTGTCTGAAGATGTGTGCTCAGCTGAATTACCGACCTTTAAAGGGAATGACAATTGAATTGAGTTTTACGCCACCTCATTTGACATGAGGCTGAAGACAGAGAAGCTAGCTCTGAGTCTCTACCATCTAATTTTTGCAGGTGCAAGCTTTCATTATCTGGCAATTGTGACATCGCCCTAATCTCCAGCTGTACCCATGACACAACAGTTAATGGTGCGGACACCAGCCTCATTATGGCATTTACCACCACTACAGCTTTACTTGACAACCATACTGTACTGTCACATTAGCATTATTACTTCTGCTAAGAACTGTCATTTACAGCGAATCAGTACCAGCATGTAACAGCCGGAACAAGGGGCGTGCAGGCTCTTGCATTCGACTGCGCAAGCTCCGAAGGTCCCTCCCAAACTCAGCTATTCTGTGATTATCAATTACCTGTGCAAGAGTCCGTAAAATTGCCATTCTTGGGTGAGGGGGAGTCAGGAATACTGACCTTACAGAAATATCAGTACCATTCCCTGATACAACACGTGAAAATTGTATGAAACAATAAACGTATTGAGAAGATGTAATTAATGAGATGATTACCAGTTTTATCCACCACCGCTTCTTAAGGCTCACGCATGCCAAAGAAATCTCATCTCTAAGTTTGTCTCTGTCAAGAGCTTCTAGAGAAACGTACTCATTGGTCTCGCTTCTGTGTAGCGCAGTGAACAGACTTTAATTCATTTGATATAGAAGGTACTTAAATCCATACGTACTAAGAAGTCACAGAACAAGACTACCTTTCCCATTCAGTGCATTACATGAACAAATTAGACTGCAACCAGCTAAATTTTAAACTTACCTGAATTTCCTCACTGGAGAATCTATTTGTAACTGAGACTGCATCAATTAGAGGCTGATTTAAAAAAAAAAAAACAACCTAATTCTAAATAGTTGGTCCTTAACACAACCTTTGACCTGGGAGGTAACTATCCTACATGATCCTAAGTGGTCCTGGGATTCTCAGCAGTGAATGCACAGAAAACAATCTGCTGGCAGAATTAGCTATGTTGTGGGAGGAAAAACAATACACAGCATATAAAACAAAATATTTATTATAGCTACAGCATTTAGGAACACCTCAGGAATGTGGATGAGATGTAGCAGCTATTTTTTTGTTCCTTACTGTGTTAATCAGAGACACAAGCTGGAGTATTTCTGGGTGAACAAACTTTCCTGCAAAACAAAAGAAAGGAAAAGTTCATTAAAAATGCTCCAATTTTCCTATGTGTGAAATGTTGGCAGTGATGTTGCTCTAGGCTCAAAATAAACGTCAAATTATTATTTTAAGAAAGAGAGTACCCCCATTTTACTCCAACTATGGAAGCGTGTAAGAGTAGTTACAGCTATTTTTCCCCCAAAACTTATAAAAATATCTCATGCTCTATTAAGACACTTAAGAGCTGAAAAAAGGACGCACTCTGGCCAGGACAATCCCACGCTATGTATCCTGATACAGGAAACCATCCCAATCACAGGAGTCCGTAGGATATATGCTCGAGGCTCTACTGAGACACTCGCTTAGTTTAAGTTACTGAGTTCTACTAGGAGGGCAAAGACGTCAATTAGCAGATTAAGTATTCCAGCTACGCTGATGTTGTCCTTTTTTCCCCCCCTTTTCCCTAATCAAATTATTGCATTTTTCAGAGAGCTCATTATTTCCCTGAGGAGACACTAAAGTACAAATGGGACTTGTCAGGGACTGTGTCTGGCAGTTGCTGGTCCTCTCCCCAATTCTGTCTGTCCATAGTTTTTTCCCAGGATAGGATGACTTGGAGTCACAGTCCTCTTCTGCGGTTCAACTGCCTTGCTAAAATAATAAAGACTATTATTTTATCTATTTTTCCTTTCCACTATCACTTTATTTTAAAGGATGAAAAGCAGTGGATAGAATAAAGAGTACAATTGCACCTAAAACATTTCACTGAGCTGCTTCTCACATGTAGCTTGGGCAGGTCACACAAGACCACAGCTCACATAGGGATTAACAAATTTTGCTTCACTGGTTCATGAAACACTAACGGAGTAGAAGCAAGCTGCTGACAGAGCACCAGTGAAGACTAAAGCCTCCTTCATAGCCCTCCAATGGTACAGGGAGATCCTTAAACACATGTACATGAGCGTAATGAAAGCTGGGCCTCTCTCTAGGTAAAAAGTGATGTAAAAGGAACTTGGCATAAGTGAAATTCAGGTTCAATACATACAGATAAACCTAAGTTATCTTCACACCGCAGTAAGTTTGCCCAGAAATATTTAGGGCACTTGAGCAACGAGTGAAATAACTAGTTCTCACTTGCTCTGAATGTTTATCCGAAAAAAAAGGTAATTTACATATTGCATTTCATTTATGAAAGAAAAAATAAATTAAAAAAAAAAAGTCCAAATGTCATACCAGCAGTTGAATCGTAAAAATCCTGCAGTCTGCCAGGTGTGTTTTCCAATTCTTCGTACTCAAATGCTTGCAGTATCATCTCACACTGATCCAACTGTTTTACAAATTTGGCTTCAGCAGTACACTGGTTTTCATATTCCTGAACAGATTTGCAGTTATAAGAAAAAAAAAAAAAAGTGTTGTTCTGAAATGGAGTATTAGAATCTCTTTATATATCTAGAATTTTCCTCATTGGTACAAGCCACTCCCTAAATATTCACAACAGTTACATATTTTGCTCTCTTTTTAAGACTGCTATTCAGGAAAATACTTGAAATAAGTATGTGCTAAATTTCTATTAAATGTAATAGGACTTAAGAACACAATTCTTTTGCATACTCTAAATCTAAACATACCAAATGTTCTGTCTGAATCGGGGATGATATGGAGACAACCCTACACAATATACAAGCTGAACAATAGGTTTCATTTAACAACATTTTATATATCAAGATCTTTTCAGGCCTGGCTAAGGCTACGAATTACCACTGTGTGTGCCTATGCATTACCGTTACCTATTTTTTAAACCTATTTTGCACTTTTCTCCACCACTTGCTGTTTTTATAAGGAGTTGTTCTTTACATTTCTCCTGTCACTCCTTCTTAATCTCTTTGGTCTAATCTGTCTGAGCTGCTTATGTCTTTATGTCTCCCCTAGGAGACAGGGAGGGGAGTCATTAAGGGGTTTCCTCCCCTTCAGACTTCAAGTCCTTTAATCTCTGCTATCTTTTCCCTCTCTCCAGTCATTGTCAGTACATATTTGTGTCATTCACATTTCTAGTCAGCTTGAACAATTTTGCTGTCATTTGCTTCCAGTGATGGCTGCATATGGGTTTGCCATTTCACCTTCTCTTTTCTAACTCTACTGCATTGTATTTGATGTCTTATCAGCTGGTCTTCTCCCGACTTCCAAAACCAACTGCAGAAAACGGCTTCTTTCTGTGCAGGTTACCATCCCCTCAAGACCCTTGGCAGGTCTGACCCATTCATCATCACCACCCCCCATAATCAGACCAGAGGTTTAAGTACACACCGGGCCCATCTGTGCTTTCAGATCCACACAACCCACAGCACACAGCAGTTCTGCACATGACAGCAGCACAAGTTCAGGAACAGTTTTTCCTACTGACCAAAAAACATAGCACCTCCTTCTGCATCTTAAGACGACAACTGTGGCTGTCATTCACAGTGACGAGATCCTGGCTTGTAATTCCAGCACAGTGATGCTTAGATAAGTGTCATGGTCATTCCCTTGTCCAACATACTATTAGGAGCCTGTTTGTTCTCATGCTTATTGCTTTACATTTAAAAGTCAGAAATCCAGATTTTGATAGCCATGATTGATTCATATACTACAGTATTTAGATGTGAACAATGCTTTGAATTTCCAATTACATTTTGATCATTATTTCAGTAATCTACTTCATTTCACCATTTTTACCTTCGTTTCCTCCTTTCAATTTGAGCTTTGTCTCATCTTTACATTGTTTAAATACTACTTCTTATTTTCTTAAATCTACTTATTTCTACTTTTTTTTTTTTTTTTTGGCCACCAAAGAGAACAAACTGTTGGCAGCATTACAAAGGAGAACTTCAGGAGAAGGAGAACTATGCCTGCTCGCTTGTAAAGGTCTGTCCCACCTCCAGCAATTAATTGAGACTATCAATCTGTTACCAACCCCTTTGTGCCATACAACCCACCAGATCTTATTCATACCTCAGCTCACATTAACCTCAAGAAACATCAGCTATTATATGTGCGACTGTGCACAGTGCGGAAATAAACATGTAGCATTTCCTCCCCACAGGCGTTTAAGAGTGCAAAATAACAGAACACTTTAGAAAAACAGTAACTGGTCTCTGAAACACCACAGTCTGGCTTTTAAAAATGACTCCTGTACTTCTGCTTTTGAAAATAAAAAAAGCAGACAGAGCTGAAGTGAGTTGACTCATTTATTTTAATGGTTTTTTTCAAATGTATTCTGGATTAAGTTAGAAAGAAAAAAATATATTGCAGGCATCTCTCTGCTAACCTTTCTCCCCTATGCTACACTTGCAGAGCGCCCACCAATACAGTCCAAAGCAATACTCTGTAAGGCTGAACAAGAAAGAGGGGCAGAGATCAGGGCAGAGCAGTACAGGAACAGATCTTGTCCCAGTCACTGTTCAGCTCTGGGCCTAACTTCCTTCACTCACAAAAAGAAATTAGAGGGAAATGCCTCTGGCTTGCTGAGAGCAGAGTATCATACCAAGTGATCAGAAGCTTCTTGTTTTCTGCATTTTTTTTCTTTCTGCCTTTTTCTTTTTAAGAAGCATATAGTTGTTCCACTTAAGACTAGAGGGGCTACACGTGAGTATTAGATTTTTAGGTTACACTTGCTGCTATGTGGGTTACACTCCTACTGCTGCATTGGAGACTCAATGACAATAAGTTATCCTGAAGGTAGAAACAAAGAAAAAGTGATCAAAAGTGTGCATATGTTAAATTATGGTTAACGAGAATGATAAAAAGCTAACATACTGAAGAACTAACTGCATACTGAACCAGCTCTTATACAATCAGAAGAGAAGACTGAGGCAAAGAAAAAAACAATATATGAAAAAAAAAAAAAAAAAAAAGAGTCCTACAGGACTAATCTTACCTATCAAAAACTCCTTTTCCTCAATTATAACAGGTTCCCAAGGGAGAAGGAACCAGGGCTCGCTAAACAAATACACACACATTATTTCCCAGATCTGGTTATGCTGGTTTGCCCCCTTTACATTGAATTACAGCACTGAAACTCCATCCCTATTGCCAGTTTCACCACACAACTACAGCAAGAAAAAAAACCCAAACAAACAGGGTGCTGTAACAAAAGACAGAAATTGGCTGCAAATATCTGGAATTTAAATACAGTCCAAGTGGAAAAGTAAGAATATCAGCATAAACTACAGTTTCAGGTGACAGAGTCCAAGAAACATATAATGCCTTGTTTGCAACAACATGTGAACAAGATATTGTGGATGCACTTGTCCTTATGCCACAGTATGCCAGGAGAAGATAAAGCACAGTAATTATAAACTTGAATTGGCTGGAAATAATCTAATCATCCCTAGTTTGCAAGCATAAAAGATCTTATCAATTAACAGTATGAGTTCACATCAAAAAGTTAAATCACCTTCAACTATAGAAGATACTTTCCAATACAACCATTTAAGATACCCAAGACCAGCCAGCAATCTGTGTTGAGAAAAGCCCTGTTCTGTGTCAATAGGCCACATATAAGTTCAAACCAGAAGTTACTACTAAATATTTTAGCCTAATAGGCTGTATAATAAAGAAATAGAAGCCGCATAAATTATTATTTCCACAAAAAGCAATACTTTGTGGCATCATTAGCTACCATTATTTTTTCCTGTATTAAAAGATCATGAGCTGCAAACAGCCAGATGTGAACATAAGAGAGAATGTCGTTAAAAAAAAAAAAAAAAAGATTTATATCCAAGAGGGCTGGATGTAGAGGACAAACCCTTCCTTCAGTTGTACAAGCCCTGGATGGGTTCATCTAAAACTCTGAGAGGCCCAAGGCAGAAGCTGGTTATTCTACCAAAGTCTAGGGTTTCCTTTTGAAAGGGGTTCCAAAGAGCCCTTGACTCATACCATTAGCTTCATGTCCCAAGCAAATGAATTTACCTTGTTTGAGGTCAAAATGAGAGATGACACAGTTTCATAGGTAAACAGGAAGAGGACAATGGGTTACCCTGAATTTTACCAAAGGATTAAAAGAATGCAAGCTTACTTCCCAGAGTTCATAGATTTCTTTTCCGAGATCCTCTGACAGAAGCTGGGTCAGTTGTTGCATAGCTGCCTGAAAAAAAGAAGCCATTTCCATTTATCCATTTTTTGAGCAAGCACATTTTTATCATTATCTTTTTTGAAGAATTAAGTACTCATTACCAAGTTTGCAGAAACATACACTACACAGCATATTATTCTAACATGCACATGTACATAAATCTGCCAGAGAAACAGTCAGACCACTCAGTGGAGGATCTTTTCTGGGAGCTGCTTACATGAATTGTTAGAAAACAAAAGAAAAACAACCTGGAAGTGCATCCAATATCTTCAAGAGTCCAAAAAGAAGCCCAGACCAAAACAGGCAAGTCAAATGTCAGGGAACTGCTGTGAATTACCAGCTCTGCCTTCAAGATTTAACTAGTGGAGGCAACATTGGAACTTAATAGGTTATAGATGCAGTCCATAAAAGCAGCTTCAAAATACTAACTCCTAGTGTTGACAAGCAACTGCTCCCTCCCAAACACTCAACTAGCACATTTCCACTAGCAGGGCTGAGAACAGCTACTGACTGTCAGGCAGGCAACACAACATGAGTCTTTAAAAGTCTCCAATTTTGAAAAAAAGAGAAAAAATCCATTTAATATTCTGCAGCAATAAAATGCAGTGCTCCCAGACTAAGACACCATTTGTTCAACAACAAAAATCTTGGTAGAAGGTTTCACACAGTATCAAACTGATGGTTTAACCAGCAAGCAGAAGTTGTTCTGCATGCTCTTTGTGCTCTCCCAGCGGATCAGTCTCATTTCTGTGCTATTTCTACTGTTTTCCTAGTAACACTAAGGGCTGCTTCTGAAACAATCAACATCACAGGCAAGACAAAGGTTTTGTGCCATGATTGTTTCTCCACTTCAAATACAGGGTGTAGTTTCACAGTATGGCTCAACTGAATCAGCTGCTCCCCACCACTGAAGCATCAAGGTCTCATTCCTTCCCACCTCTTTCCAGCTCTGGAGCTCATCAGATTTCAAGGTTAGCAAAAAGACTTACCTGGCAAAAAAAAAAAAAAACACCAAAAACACCCAATACAACCCAAACAAACCCCAGAAAATCCAAAATGTGGTTTGTTTGTTTTTTTTTTAAAAATCAAGTTCATTTTCTGCCTTGGTGAGACTAGCTGATTAAAGTATGGCAGAATCAGCAAACAAGCAGAACCAGCTCAACATCATCTGTAGAGCAAAAGGAAAAAAAAGGAGAACTCTGCAGCAGAAGCAGCATACTGATAATTCAGCTGAAGCCACCTCATTAAACCGTTACCCTTGGTGTATTTTTACAACAAAGCATTTCAAAGTCAGCCTAAACATTTAACATTTGACCCTCCTTCCCACAAAGTCAACAGCAAAGTCCTCACTGAGTGAAATGGGAGCAGAAGGAGCTCCAAATACTTAAGAAAACTCTTAAACATATTTAGGCATCAAAGTATCTTTTTCATTGCCCAAATAAAAATGAGAATTCCCACTAGGCAAAATTGAAGCCTGATCCTTGGTCACAAAACCACCTTTGGAGGCTTCCAGGAAAGAGGTGTTTTGTTTTTTTTTTTTTTTTGTTTAGCATAAGAACATACTAGGAAGTACACTGAAAAAAAGAAATACCAAAATTGCAGTCAGTAAAGATAGTACTTCAAGAACACTGAATACCCCTTTGATCTTTAATTTCCAGTTTCTTAGCAAAGAGCTTACTCCTAGATTTAGTCATAGCCCCCCAACCCCAAGTTTTGAACAGATAAGCATACAAGTGTGTGTGGGGGGGACAATCACTGCAACATTCTTTTTTTTATTATTTTTTTAATTATTTTTTTTTTTTTTTTACATTCTTTGAAGAGCTACTTGTAGTGTCTAAAGAGCTTCTGAGGCATCACGTTGCCCTCTAGCTGTGGCTGGAGAAGTGGTTTGCATTTTCTTCAAATAACGCATCGAACCAGAAATGACAAACCAAGAGTTTGGATACGGACAAGGCCAAAAATAAAATAATTCTAGACACACTGCACTCAAAGACTCATAACCTGTGCACCTGTGTCTGCAGTCCTGTGCAAAGGGTTTCAATAAAGTCTCCATCACAACCACATGATCTGGCACCACACAAATGATCTGCCACAAACTGTCACCCACCTTTCTCAGTGCACCTACTCCCTGCTGCTCACCTCTCAGTAAGGCTGGTCAACATGACTAATTCAGGCTACCACAAATCCAGCCAGTTCCCGAATAAATGGCCAACGTGAAGATTACTTCAAAGGCTTTCCTTCTGTAACTTTGTACTTGGCGAGGTTACACGTAGAAAAATCACGAGTTCAAAACTTTGGTTGTTTGCAGCATATTTGTCCAATGCCAATGACAGCATTGTCGCTTAGAGGGTCTCTTCACTATCACTGGAACATTAAACACACACAGAACACTTCATAGATATGGCTTCGTGCCTTATGCCCATACCTCTTCTCTCCTGTGTTTCTCCTCTTTTGAGATATTATCTGCAGGAGCAATATCTCCAACAATGCATTCAGCCATATCATGAACCAAAGCTAATCGTATGCATCTGACAAGAAGGAAAGACAGAATAATTAGTCTTTCAGCATTTTAAGTTACATCTTGTTATTCATAAAGCTAAGAGACTGCATAATTTATCCCCTTCAGACATGATTTTAGTTCCTGACTTGTAACTACTGCTGCTTGTAAATGTAGATTCAAGAATACAGTTTGCACATGAGCATAGCATTAAAAAATAATGTACTTAGCTTTTGTATGCTTGGCTTTCGGAGATGCTGTAATAACTAAATACATTATACACTTCACATTAACACTGCAACAGGTAGAAGGTAATCTGATTGGAGCAATCCCAAATTCAGTATATAATCTGACACTCACAGCTCTCTAACTGTGCCAGCCTGCAGCAGAATACTCAAAAAAGCCACCACTATTTACATCAGCTCCTGAAGGGACAAAGCAAGTACGATCCCATACTAGACTTGACAACTCATTCAACACTAATTATGCTTTCTCTTCTACGCTACATGATTTCTGAGGCTCCCTACTGCTGCTGAGTGCTAACTCAGTCTGTTAAAACCCACAGCGTATGGCTTTGCCATTGCTGGCTGTTACTTCAAACTGTGTTTTAACTGAGTGTCTTCAGCTTGCTTACTTATGACTTGAGAGAAGACCAGCTCAGAGCCTCTGCATTAATGACTGGCCTCAGAACCTGGAATTTAGCAATAAAAGTCTTCAGCCCCTTTCTCTCCCTGTCCAAAGGATGGAGGGAAAAGAAAAAGGGAGAGGACTTTGAACTCATTCAGTTTATTTTAAAAGCTCTTCCTCAGGACAACAGCTCTTTTAAGCATTTTGCTTGCAGCTCTCCCATGACATTAACATGTGGTCACAATAACCAAAGGCAGTCTCACCTGTCCTTGTTAAGGCTTTTGTCTTCGGTCACCAAAGCCATCATCGCCATCCTGTACATGTGATCGGATACGCTTTCTGGCTTCGCCACATTCCTGTACACCCATCCTGTCCGTGGTACTCTCTGAGTGAGGACACATAAACGTTAAAATCTTAGGTTTTGCAGGACCCCACTTCAGAGATGCCAGTAGCAATGCTGTCCCACTGTGACCACTATGCTCCCGGGAAAAACCTGTCCCAAAAACTGAGCTCCTTGGAGGCCGTGACCTCTGCATTGCATTGCCTAGCCTTTGCATCGCTATTCGCAGGCAAGAAGGCACCAGCACCCCAGCATCCCCACCACCAGCAGCCACCACCACCTAGCAGGC